GAGGCATGTGCGTCTTTTAGGCTTGGAAAATTTCATTATGTTTTTTATTGGAGTTTTATCGTTGCTCGTAAGGCGCTCCTCTCCACCTCCAATTATGCCTCCTGTGTTTACTGAAACTGTATTCATGGAAATGTGTTTGTTTGACACAGGGCGGCATTATTAGAAGTGAGAACATGAGCAAACACGGCACAAACTGAATCCAGCGCGCTGTGGATTGATTGCATAAAAGCAAACAGAGCTGAGAAATTAATTTTAAATATGGAGAAATCTAGTGTACCTCTGTTTCTCGCAGCGATGGAGCAGAAATTAATTTTGATGTCATATTGTGTGCTTTGCTGTTTGAGAGCGCTGATGTTAGCATGCTAATTTGAAACTGTAGCTGGCCAAGCTATAAGATACTCGTAGTGTAATTTAATTAAGTAATTAAACTGCACTCTTATATCACTCCAAACCTGTGTGACATTTGACCATGAAGCACAAAAGGACAGATTTTAAAGAATTATACCGGTCGAGGTTGGATATGCAATTGTAATGAATAAGGACGGGAGCTTTATGCTTCAAAAATATTGAAAATCGCCGTACATGAGTCATAATAGTAGAATAAGCCATTATGCCAGGTCCTTATATATAATGCATACACTACCATTAACTCAGTAAAAGATTTCTATTTTAAATAAATGCTGTTTTTTTTTTTTACTTTCTGTTTGTCAAAGAATCCTGAAGAAAATGTATCATGATTTCCAGGAGCTCAACTGTTTTTCAAAAAATAACAAGAAATGTTTCCTGAGCAGCAAATCAGCATATTAGAATGATTTCTGAAGGATCATGTGACACTGAAGACTGGAGTAATGATGCTGAAAATTCAGATTTTATCACAGGTATAAATTACATTTGTAAAAATATTCATATAGAAAACGTTTTAAATTATTGCTGTTTTTCCTGTATTTCTGATCACATAAATGCATCCTTAGTGAGCGTAAGATATTTCAAAAACATTTTTAAAAAATCTTATTGTCCCCAAATTTAAAGGTATAGTTGACCCCAAAAATTCAAATATTTTAGTACTGGGGTCCAAATAACATTCATTGTATAGACAAAAAAAAAACATCTTTTAAAACATATTCTCCATATATTCTTCTAAAAGAAAGAAAGTCATGCAGGTTTGAAGTGACATTAGGGAGAGTAAATGGGTAATTTTTGGGTAAACTATTCTTTTAAAGCTCAAACTTTTTGTACCACTACACAGATGAGTTAGTATTCACTACTTTAAGATAGTAAAATGATTTGAATGGACAATTTTTGTAACATAAACTAGTAATAGGGGTTCACATACATACAGTATTGGTGTATCAGAAGCATAGTCTCCATTTTCTCGCTCACATTATACTTATTCAAATGAAAGACTTTTGTAATTAAACCGATAAAGTTTGAACCACCGTGCTTCAAAAAAAAAAATTTTTTTTATAGCCAGCGCTCATGGAGAAGCTCTGACCTTTTGGGTAGCATCTTCAATTATCAAGAACTAAATTAATTTCACCCACTTCTAGTGCCAAAAGCTTTGTACTCATGCCTGAGCATTGTTATTGTTAGCTTTAAACAGTCTTTCAGCTGTGTTTGTCCTTTCAGCCAACTGTAATAGTCCTCCTTCCATGTCTAGCACTCTCCAGTGGCGTTAAGACTGGATTGGCCTCCAAAATGAGGGTCAGAGGTCAGCGTACAGGTTTGCAGTGGAGTGCGCTAGTTGGCATTCGTAGCTCGCCAGGGTTTTTCCATTTTTCCAGGGCTTAGCCATGCTTCAAAACCCTTCCTCAACGAGCCGCGGGCACCTGGCACCACTTCTCACGTCGCCTCTTCAGCCTGATTACTGCGGTAGAAGAGACCCTCGACGATCGGTCTGCTCCTGCGAGCACAAAGTGCTAACTACCTGTCTGCACGAAAGCAGAAGTGCTTTTCCAAGTCTTCTGAAGACAACAGCTTGACAACGTGCATCAATCTCTTGCTCTGATTGTCAGGTGTAATGCCTTTTTAATTGCACGGGGAAAAGTGAAAATGGCTGCACTAGTGTTTTCTATATGTCAGCCTCTATCAGCGGTGGACAGATGCGGCGTTAGGCCGTTTATTTATTTATTTTGTTGTCGCTGACACAAAAGTGCCACGCATCGCTCATTGTCTTTCTGTGCTCAGATTGAGCACCGTGCTAAAAATGGCTTGAGACAAAGCATCTCTCCTCGCCGCACGATCTGCTAGCGCTTGCACAAAGATGCAGAGAGACGGGCGGACTGCATAATGCGTTTGTCAGCGGGCCGATGAGTCAGCCGGAGAAGAAACGGCCGTCCGGTTTGACGTTTCACCTGACGCTGTGCTTCTCAGACTTTGAGGTTAGCTTAGCGCAAATTCAAGACAAGTCAAAGGAGCACGATTGGCGAGAGTGAGCTGGAAAAAAGGACCTGTGCTTGGTGAACTATTTTTATAAAACTTTAAATAATAGTCAGTTTATTGAATATGAAGTCACAATATAAAAGAAAATCTACAATAAAAAGTTTGCACATGTGTGTGATACATAAGGCTTTTATGTCTCATATAGTATGGTACTGGAGAATACCCACAAAAATCCACAAATTGAGCTAAAATATGCAATTTGGCAAAATGCTGATGTTTATATGGCCAAAAAGAAAGATGAAATTCTGATTGTAATGTAAATCAATTAGTTCTTTATACCTGTATAGCAGACACTTACATTAAATGCATATTAATATCAGTTGTCACTGTATATCTCCCAATAATATGTCTATTATTGCAGAAAGATGATATTTAAATGCTTAGCTTTATGATCAAAGCTCTGTGGTTTTAAAACATATAATGCAATGTAATATAATGATGATTGAGAGATGATCAAATAAATGTCCCTCAAAAGCCTGATGATCATATTTGATACTCGCATTTGAAAATGATTTTTCAAAAAATGATGTATGAATAATCAAGCAAACCTAAGTTGCTTCAGTCCAGTAAATGTTCATCTTGAAATATTACAAACAAAAGAAAAGTTATTCTTACGGTTACTTTATAAAATCAGTGGAGATTTCACAGCAAGGTGGAGCTACAGGTGAATGTTAGTACAATTACACTAAAAGGCCTTTTGCTTGTTAAATAGTGTAAACTATAAATCAGATGACAGAAGGCATGTATTAGATTGTGTACGACAGGTTTTCCAGCAAAATTTTGATCATGCTGATCATTTAGATGCCTTAGAAATTCATATATCAAATATGATACAGTACACTCTAAAAAATGCTAGGTTAAATATAACCCAGCGCTGGGTTAAAAAGGGACAAACCCAGCTATTGGGTTGTTTTGACCCAGCGGTTGGGTTGTTTTGACAACAACCCAACTGCTGGGTCAAAACAACCCAACCGCTGGGTTATATTTAACCCAGCATTTTTTAGAGTGTAGGCTTCATAGTTGCTGTTGGTTGCCTGTATATAAACTAAATTACTTTATTAATGCTATTTTGTAAAAGCAACTAGTCAGCTGAGTCTGGTAAAACCATTGGTAAGACTTCATATTGTGCCTTTAATCATGGTAAAATCACTGTAACTCACAGCCTCTTACGGCTTATGTTTTATTTAGCATTTTAAATCTCAACTCTTTAATATCAGCACTGACTAGTCTTGTTTTATACTTTTACTAGGTACATTCAAGGAGCTTCTTCTCCCAAGGACATGGTCATCCTCGTGGACGTGTAAGTATCCTCTCGAACACACTCTCCATCTGTCTCTCTGTGTGTCTCATATGCACTGCATTAACAAACGGTCATCTGTGTTGATAAATGTGTTGTTTATGATGCCATAACAGCAGTGTGGTGCTCTACTGCCACCTGTCGGCTGAAAAGAACATTATTCCATCTTATTAACCTTGTGCCTCAACATCAAAATGCTTCCGTGTTCCTGAAATATGACTTAGAGGTTATATGCAATGAAAAATGGCATTACTGTTGCCGATATCTGAGCTGCTGGTGGAGAATTTAAAACATCCTGCGACTCTGATCTTATCTGACCTCTAAAATGCATAATCTAAAAAAACACTTTCGCATCATACATAAACAGATATGTTTACAGATGAATTTATTGAAAGTTATGCATTGCATTTTTTTGAGTTCATAGAATTGTCGTTTTAGCTATAATTAAATGCATGATCATTTTGTTGTTAAATGCTACGTTTAGTGAATCATCGAGACCTTCTTTTGAAATCTTTTATTTATCAAACCTTAAGTGTTAGGCATTTAGAGTCATTGGTAACAATGCTGCATAGTTTAACAAATAAGTGATTGACTCAATCATACAGCCATTATGTGCATAATCGTCAAAAAATCATTAATTTTCTTAAGTAAACCTCTCTAGAAAAACTGCTTAATGGAGGTTAATTGTCACTGGCTGGCAATCCTCCATAACCTTAAATAGATACCGATGTCTAATTAAAAAATACACCAATGGCAGCTGTCGCTTTGCCAAGGCAATCTCATGCCAATCAAAAGCACCATCGCGCTGAATGTTTCTGACAATCTTAGACTAATCTCATTGTGACGACTGGAAGCATGAGACAATAGTGCTGTCACCAGGGTTTTTTTTCCCAATGTGCTCGGCTTTATTTATTAAACCTTCTAACTCTGGAAGCCAAATTACGCATGAACTCGTGCTCTATGATTGCTTTTTCAATAGCTTCTGTAGGCTATTAATAAATCCAATTTGCAGCATAGAATTCAAATGTACTTTGTTTTTGAAGATCGACTGTCTCCGTTCTGTCTGTGAAGATGGTGCTTTTTAACATGCCGTCTACAATTTACTTTTGATGGATGGGGATGAGGGAGACACTTAGCAACAGGTTCTGCTTGGCAACGGCAGTTATGGGCTTGTGTTGCTGTGCAGTGCTGTTTTGAGACATGACTGGTTTGTTAGATAAATGTTGTAATGTTCAGTGTGTGTGATGTATTTGTGTGTTTGTAGGAGCGGTAGTGTCAGTGGACTGACCCTGAAGCTAATGAAAACCTCTGTCATCGAGATGCTGGACACACTTTCTGATGACGATTACGTAAATGTGGCTCGGGTAGGTTTTTTTATTTATTTTTTAAGTAGTATCAACAATTAATGGCATAACCCCCATATTGTATATGCATTACAATTTTATGTCCATTACTTTTTTTTATCTTATTATAATTATTATTATAAATAATTATATAAAGTAAGATTTATTAATATTTATATAAAATAAACAAAATATTAATATTATATTAGTATTATATATATTTAATTATATATATATATATATATATAATATTGTATATATAT